TAACAAATCTGCAAATATTTTTAAATGGTACATTATAATTTGATAGGACATAATAAGCCAAATTTGCAAAAGAGGCTATATTTTATATTTTCATCTAAAATATTCACTGGCTTGTATATATGTGTAGCTCCAAATGGAGAAGAACAAAAGACAAAAGCAGGTTGCAACCTTCCTCCACCTCAACATATGCTATAATTTTGCACATGTACATGTTAGGTATACATTTAAAGCATATGGAGAAAGTAATTAGATGAAACCAACTCTTTTAAAAATCTGGGATTGGTGATTTTTGCACAAGGAAATTACAGAAAGCTGGAAGTGTAAAAGTTTCTGTGTAAGTTGGATATTTCAAGAACTGGTATCCTTCTGCCCCACTTCTGGATAAACAACTTTCTACAATCTTATTCGGGGAAATGTTATACGCTAGTATTTTAGCTGTCATCTCGCATTCCCTAAGGGGTTGTATATCCTCTGTGATTGTATATCCTCTGAGATTGGCACAGCAATGTCAGGGATTTGGATGCTTAGTTCCCATTATTGTTGCTGAGGATCTAATCCCTTTGTTAAGGGATGTTAGCGCCTTCTGCAGATTTTGTGCCTTTTGGCTCTGTGGTTTATTCTCCCTACCTTTCAGTATTTCCAAGAAGTCTTCAATCTACTCTTGAAAGGGTCTCTCACCATTGGTGGACGTTGTAATCTTTCAGTGAAAGCCCTTAAGTGGCTGCAAAAAAGCTACTTCTTACAAATGTTTTTACACACGTTTCTACCTAAAAGCCTGGAGAAGCCTGTACTGGAGAAAAACAAGCCTCAGAGCCAACAGAGAAGGAATATAGATTATTCAGATGATAGCACAGACATCAGGACAGAAAATTCTGAGCAATCTGCAAGGCTGTCTCAATCAGAATAAGTATTTGCACTATTTTGGCCCCTGGACCTCAGTAGAACTTCCTGACTGACAAATTTGCATTTGATCTTCTCTTTCTCGGGTGTGCTCCTTCCTCACGTTGTCTACACCAATATAAGAAAATAAATAGTACCAAGACAAATGCGACAAATGCTTAAGTAGAGGTCCTCCATCTCCCATGTTTATATTTTCCCTATTCTAATTAAGTATAAAAGAATTTAAGCATGGGTGTAAAAGCATACATTCTTAGCTTCCAAACAAGGGAACATAACTTGGCTCCTTTTATTCACTACACACACAAAGCCAGTTAAAGTTTAAAATCACATTCTGTGACATTTAACCATCTTTGCTAGGCACACTCAGAACAGCTTGAGAAGGTCTGCTGCCCTGTAATGATTTCATAGTTAATAATACATTCACATATGTGTGTCCACATTTTTGTGTCTCTGTGCATACACAAAATGTTCATGTCAATGTATGGAACAGCTACAGCACCATTTTCAACCTTACTTAACGAGGCAATTTAGTACAGATGACAAGTTTCAAGACTTTGAATTATGTCTCTTCTTGTTCTTAGAATGGTTTTAACTGTCAATGTTTGTAAGTCATAAATATGAGAATAATGCAATAAGGGCTACCACAGACACCCACTTCTGTATTACTTTATTTTCGTTCTGTATTTAAAATGTCTGCACATCTTCATACATTTCCTTCCTCCTCACTGTCAGACACTGAGGCTCTCAGTTTTTATCTAGGTAAAAAGGACTGGCATTCTCTAAAAAGTCCTAGGTGCTTCTACTGAGTCAACTTCCATGTTTTGCAATGTATCTGCAGTCATATAAAGACAGGGTAAAATGGAATTTTAAAACATGCTCTCATATTCCTAAACATTTTCTTTTCCCCCTCTCACTGCTTTCTTCACAAACGCTTATGCCCATTGGCCACAGAGAATATTAATAATTTGCAATATTCCATAGTGTTAGAATCAGCCCCCTAAAGATCAGTGGTGGTAAATCTTCCTGAAGAGCTTCTCCAGCCTTTCTTGAACACAGACACACAGACAAGACACACACAGAGACACTCACACACACAGCTGTTTACAACTAATGTGCACAATACATGTGCAGACCTGCCATGAAGATGCCAAATGCCCTCAAGCACATGTGATGCCTGAAGGTCATGCTGGAGATTTGGCTTTCAAGCCTTCTAAAAATACTTTGCTGGCACTGTCACATCTGCTTTAGATGCCCAGTTCTCATGGCTGACACAGAACTGACCACAGACATTATTTATGTTAACGCACTCTCCACATAAAAACCCATGGCTTTGACCTAGAGATGACTTTTGAAATCTTCAAAGCAACTTGCTTAAAGCTGCTTTTCAGTCCTCTCAATAATCAAGAAAGTTATTATCTTAATAATCAAACAAAGTCCAATAATATCTTAGATTAATTATGGTGAAACCAATGGATTTCTGTGCAACCTGAGATGCAATTGGATTTGTATTTTCCAGGTAGCAATGGACACAAGAAAAAACAACACATAAAGCATTCCTTCCTATGCAAAAGCTAATCAAATCTGCCAGAATTTAATTGCACTAAGGGGACTTTAAAACATAATTTTCTGTCTTCACCTTGGGATTACCTGGAAATAAAAATAGATTAAAAATACATCAATAAAGTTTGGCATATAAAAACACTATGCATGTTCAAAGATAAGAAAACCATATTTCTACTGTTTCATATCCTATACAATCCTGTTGACTTCAGAATGCTTGACACTGGTGTACATGATTTTGCTGCACATCCTGTAGGAGCACTGTGCAACAGAGACTCCATGCAGAAATGGTTGCATGCTGCCTGGTCTGTCTGATATTGCTGATACTTTTGACAGGAATACTTATTAGACCAGGTTAGCAGTACACAAGAGACTCCATTTATACCTATAGTTGTCTTCAGGACACTGACCATATGTTGTAGACAGCAGTTATAAAACATCCACCACATGCAATCACTTGATACTTTCTGAGAAATTATTAAAATCATTGCTTGAGAATGAGCAAAAAGACAAAGAAAGGGACCACCCTTTTAAAAATGGTAAGGATGAGATCACATCCTAGATCAAAAGTACATGGGAGCAAATTGTCTCACTTCAAATTATGGGAATAATCTCTCTTCACTTCACTACAGTCTAGCTTGACCTGTGATCCCTGAAATCAGCAGGAATTCTTATAATTTATTTTATAAAGGGAAGGAATCAAATGTTAAGCATGTCTCTTTTATGGGCATCAGTAACTAATATTGAGGGGAGATTCTCAGCATCCATCATAGTTCTATGTAGCAGTTTCATAAAGGATTAGAATGTTCTATCTTAGCTCAGTAAACACTAAGGACTATGGTCCTACTCCACAAGTAGGACCATACACCTATTACAATTTTGCTATCAGGGATAATATCTTCTTAGGAAAGTGTACCATATAGGTACATTTGCTCAGGCTAAGGGTGGCAAAACCTGCTCTGCAATCTCTGGATGTGATTATGCTCTCTAGTTTATTCCTACACAACCTACTTCAAAAAGGTCAGGAGATTCTGTCCTGATTCTGGAAAGTATCCATTAGCACAGAATGAGAACCCTGTTCTTGCTATACATTAAAAATGAAGGAAATTCCTCCACTGTGAGCTACACCCACAGTAACATCTGTGTAAAGTAAAAGGAAGTAACTGATGTATTTTCTTCAGATCACAGTGGTGCCTGTCATTTTCGCTCTTGAATTCTGGTATCTTAATGAAGTCTCTAAATGATCTTTGCTAAGATGGATTTGCCTTTTTTATTTGTTTGTGACATTTAAAAGCCATTTAGAGTTGCCTGAGACTGCTTTGAGTTCAGCTTTATCATATTATGGAAACTCAGGACTTTGTTGCATCTTTCCATTCCCTGCCAACAGCAGCCCTCAACTACAGGTGACTGCCGATTTTCCAAGTATAACCACAAGAGAAAAAGAGCAGAGGTGACTGGATGGGGAGCAGCAGAAAAGTAAGTTAGGTAATTCATCAAAATGGTGAAACTCTTGACAAGGTGAACGCTTTAAAAGCCACGCAGTTCTGTAAATCTCCCCAAGCCTTTTCTGGATACTTTTACTGACAGTGCTGAAAAAAGTGTGATGTGCTGATTCTGCTGTGAACAGAATCCTAACGCAAATTAAAAGTTTAATTAGAAGATCAATTTCTCAGGAAAACATGGAAACTTGGAAAAGTGTCACCATATCCTAGATCACTACAGATAACAAGAAAGCAGAATCTAAAGCACAAAATCATAAAGGAGAGAAGAGAAACAAATGGTTACTAAGCTATTAGGGAGAAAGGTTAAGTTAGTTCTTTGCCAGCATCTGAAACCTTTCATGCTAACAAAAGGAAAAGGATTTTTCAGAAATTTTGAAGTGTCCAGATCTTTTGAAATAAACAAGTTAGACATCTAAATACTTATATTAGCCCATAGGTTTAACAAGCCTTTTGTGGAAGAGCAAGTGAGGATAAAGATTATTAATTCACTTAATGGGGCAGCCACGATAGTGATGGGGAGCTGTGATGATTTCACAATCACAGGGTCCCAGGCTATGTCAGTGTGGTAGCAAGGTATGACTTTGCTCCTCACTACCTTTTAAGTGAACCCACCCATTTTTAACAACCATTTTTTCATAGCAAATACCTGTTTCTTAAGTCTGCCAGGATCAATTGAGAAACTCCATCCAGTTTTCTTTTGGGAATTGATAACTTTTGCATTCATGGGCCTCTTTGAAAAAAACAAAGACATTAATTAAAAAAAAAAAAAAGACATTTTTGAAAAAAAACAAAGGCATTTATTAAAAAAAAAAAGTCATCTTCCCAACACATAACATACAATGCTCCAGAAAAATTCTAAAACCTCAAAAGGACTTCAGATTATCATGACAATAATGTACTGGGATCCAACCCTAACTGTTCTGTATTTTAAAGTCAATAGAATATAATGTGTAACATTTAATTGTTCTTTAACTAAATAAATGCAATTATGAATTTCCCAGTAATTTTTCTGAACAAGCTGAAAAATATACCTCATACCTATCCATGCATTCCTGCAATTACTGATGGGGCTGTTGATGGAAGATTAGAATTTGCTGGGTGAGTTGCTGACCAATGAACCCTGCCAGAATATCCAGGAATATTTGGAGTGCTAAAGGAAATAGTTAAAAGGGGGATGGGATAGAGAAAAGTTAAATTAAATGACTATAGGCTTGACATATGACTTATAGATATATAAAGTTCTAAAATGGATAAGTTTTATCAAAGATGGATGGGGTAAAATCTCTTAATAATAAAACAAGAAGTGCTTAGAATGTATAAAATTTCATAGCTTCTTTAAAGTCAGGGAAACAACTTTATGATGATCTTCCTGATGATCTGGGCTCAAATCTCTGGTTAGACATTATAAAGGTGAGCTCTTTAGATAATTCTTTTTTCTTCAATCTGTTTAGGTTTAGTATCTGTATAAGATTAATGATTAGAAGCAACATTTAATCACAAAGAAGAAATGAAATCACAGAGTTTGCATAGACCACAAAAAGCAAGGACATATTCTTTAAAAATGTGATGCAGATTTAGCTCATATTTAGTTTCCAGCTTCAAATATGAAATTTACATAACAGATTTCAAGCCAACAGGTGTGATTTCTCATGGGCTAAAACATAAATGATTTCCCAAATTATTCTAAGGTTCTCTAAATTTCCCTTTAGAATTTATTAAGATGTAGTAGTAACAACACTGCTTAGACACCAACTTAAATTCTAGTGTGAGCGAACCACTGAACTGAGACAGCATGCACCGAATCTTGGAAAATGAAAGCCTTTTGTTAATTCTGATGGTGTTTTAATGTGAAAATGAAAAGCAGAGGCCCTTAAAGATGTGGAGTAAAAAAACTCTACTTATCTGAAGCAGTACAAAGAAAATTTTGATAACAGTTGTTGCAAGATGAAGCAGAGATGCACAAAATTAAAGAAAAAATAGGTAATATGAATTCAGATAATCCATTAGTATTAGAAATAAAACAATATAAAGCCTCAATATAGTACCTTTTTTTGCAACTCAAAGTTTTTCAGAGGGTATAATTGATATTGTTCTGTATTGACATCTCAAAGTAGGACACGGTTGGACTATACAATTAAACATAGGACACACATACACATATACATCCAGACTGCCCATACCCATGGAAGTAAAGGCTTACAACAAGCTGTTTCATCTGCTGACTCAACTAAATATTTGGGATTATACACCTCACCTCTGTTAGTCATTTGTGGGTCTTCACACCATATAGCACTGATAGCAGTGCTTCCTTTCTAGTAATTTCTCAAGTATTCTTCATCTTCCCTGAACTCTGTGTAAAAAAAACCAATTTCTTTAACTATTAAGTGTGCATAGAGTTACTAGTATCATGCATGTATTACTAGTATCATGCAGCTGATGAGCTCCTTCTCTGCAACTAAGCTCAGCAGGGGATGCAAAAATGGACACATATGAGAGATACAGTTTATCAGACTTTGTGTATCTCTGACTTTTGTAGTGGGAAACTTGACTCTGACTTTCCTCACAAGAAGAGCAGAGGTAATGACAAAAAGCTGTATCTACCTACCAGAGTTATAACATAGGACTCTGTATTTAGCATGAGAGCATTGGTGGTATCTGTTGTAGTCCTTGCACCCATAATTAGCAGAAGGACCACCTAATTATCTATTTCAGTTTGGAGTAACCTTGCACTAGCCCATATCTTCATATACTGCTACACTCCGTGTGCCATGCTCCAGTCTATGATTCTCCAGAGAGGATGGCTTTGTAGAATCAATACAGAGGTTGTGTAGCACTTGGGAAGCTGTTGCCTATAGGGAATCACTGAGTAGTTGGCTGGGCAAGGAACAAATTTGCTCTCTGTCTTGACAGCAGCTCTGCAGGGGCAACAAGTGGCTTGAAAACCTTTACAGTAGTAGGACATGTTTTCTGAATTGGCCAAAATGGGTTGCATTCAAATTTGATTTTTCATGTCAAAGTAGACAACTGTTAGGTTAAGTGCACATTACGTGAGTGTAGAAAATTTTTTCTGTATATCAGGATCCCACCAAAGGACACAATGGATATTGGGTTGTTGTGACTGTAAGCACACAAATTCATCCAAAACTGAAAATGTATCTGAAGGAATATGTACCACTCTGAAGGAATCAGTCAAACTGTGAACCCAGTTTTATTACCCTGGTAATGGGCTATGTAGCAAGATATGTCTACCACATGTCATGAAATTCCAGTGATTCCCTTGGAAGTGTATGGGGGTCACAAAGAGAAGTAGATGACAACAAGAAGTCCTATAGTAGCTTCCAGCATTTTATGAGCCTATTTGAAGTTAAATCACATAATAATTATACTGTTATATTATCATAATTTTACATATTAACTGTGTACTTTAATATTCTATAAAATACTTTTTATATTTTATATATTAATATTTCTATATTAATATATTAATTGTATTATTATGCAGTTATATTACTATAATTATATAATTATAACTATATAACTGTGAGGAATCTGATTGATAAAATCTTCTCACCTTTGAAACTTGCAAAAGTAGAAGAAAAGATAAAAGCATCATAAATGGGCAAATGTGACCCAAAAGTCAATCTGAGAAATGACCCAAGGTGAAGACTTGTTCTAGACTGTCTGGTAGAAATAATTGACAGAGGCTGTTACATTCATAATATGTGGGATGAATGTGGATCTGTAAAAGAAGAGAGCTGAACAGAGAGAAGATAAAGGTACCAGGAAAGTAAGCAAGGTTACACTACAGCAAAGCAGCTGCTCTCTTGGGAACCTGCAGAGAAGATGCAAAACTGTACTGCGGTTATGTAGGTGATAAAGCAGAAGAAACTGAGGTTAAAAAAGTACCCCTTTGTGTTTTTGTTTTTTGGATCATGCCATCTAGCTCTTGTGCACTTTCTCTGATGAGCTGCTAACCTATTGCTGCTGCTGAAGAAAACAACTAAGTGCCAGCCTACCACTGGGCAACACACAAAACTCCTCTGTGGTTGTGCTGCCGTCATCAAGCTTTCTTTCTGTAACCATGACATCTTTCTTGTTCATACACTTCCTTGTTATCATCCCAGCAGCTCTTAGTCAACAGTAACAAATATATAGTGCTGACAGTTGAATCTGTGCAGGCATTAAGATTTTTCAAGGGAATTGTAGTGATTCTGGCGGCCTCTGCATTGGTGTACTTCTGCTTTTTATGTCCATAGAATCATAGAATCACTAAGTTCGGAAAGGACATCTAAGATCATCAAGTTCACTGTTAACTCAGGACTGTCAAGCCCACCCTAAACCATGTCCCCAAGTGCCACATCTACATATGTTTCAAATGTCTTCAGGGGTGGTGACTCCTTCACTTCCCTGGGCAGCCATATTTTCTTGTCCTGTTGCTGGTTACCTGGGAGAAGATACTGACCCCCCACCTGGCTTTTGGGTAGTTGTAAAGACAGATAAGGTTCCCCCTGAGCCTCCCTTTCTCCAGGTTAAACAAACCTGGCTCCCTCAGCTGCTTCTGATAAGACTTGGTGCTCCAGACCCTCCACCAACTTCATTGCCCTTCTCAAGACATGCTGCAGCACCTCAATGTACTCTTTTGGTGAGGGGCTCAGAACTGGACAGTGGATTTAAAGGGCAGCTTTACCATCTTGGGATGTCTTTGTAGATTTTTATTTCCTGGCAATGATCAGGAAGATCAATATGGATTTAATTTAGTAGGCCCTCCATACTGATATTTAGAGCTATTTTAGACCCCTTAAGGTCTCTGAGATAATTTTCTATAACACAGAACTCACAGGCGATACATATTGTTCAGAACCAGCAGCTGGAAGCGATGGTCTATAGTGCCTCCAGGGTATTGGATGCCCAGGTTTGCCATGTAAATTCCACATCACCTGTTTGTATGGGAGTAAAATATAGATTTCCCCCAAATAATCTGTAATTCCTGAAAACCTTGGATCTAGCACTTCAGCTTTAGCAATGGAGGTATCCAAGCTCTTTGAGGAAAAATTCTATCTAGTGAGATACCCAGTAGATTCTTACCTTAACACTTACAAGCAAAGAGTTCCTAACATCTTACTCTTCCTTATAAACACCCCTGTAAAAATGCAATAGAACTAAATCACCATATGAAGTCATTATACTTCTTTGGGTTTTTGCTACTATAGAATAGGCCTCTCAAATCTCACTCACTATATAAAGCTGTATAACAATTGGTTTCCACCTCAAATTCTCTTCCAAATGTAACACATTTGTGCCCTTCTACATCCTTTTTGCCTCTTTGATATTACTTGCCAAACAGAACAACCTGTGGTAAAAATGTCTCAGGCACGATCCTGTGTCAGGAAATTCATACACTCCTTTGTGTTGTGAAAGAACATATCTAAGATTACTTGTGAAGACAAAACAAAGTGCTTTAATGCAGAGGAGAGAATAGGACCGACAGCATTCTGGGTTTCATTTCACACCCATCTCCCTCAGCCATCAAAGCACAATAGGGAATGGGTACTTAAAAATGGGTTTGGGGTTCTTGAAAAGATAAAAACATCAAATGGCAACTCCCCCAAATATGTTGTATCATGTTGGACTGGGAAACTTTGTTTCTACAATTTCAAACAATTTTATTCTGCTTTCAAAATTTTCAGTCCCCCTTTGTAGTATGGGGCAATATTTTTCAGACACAATAAAGCATTTCAAGGCAGCAATAAAATATCATTTGGAAAAGGCCAAAGTAGAATATTTCAACACACACTTGCCTCCACAGTCCCCTGAACCAGTCAAACTGGAGAACTACTAAACAGGCATGTATGGTAGACAAGCTGTCAGTTTCTGAAGAAAGAATACTTTATGAGAAAGCTCCACAGCAGCCCTTGGAAATGACTGTGCAAGGTGCAGGACAGCAGAGAGTCCTGTTCCCAGCTAATTGAGGCCTGTGGAGTTTCTGATAACTTGAATTTTCAAGGGATGCATGCACATAGACAGTTGGAAACTGACTACACTGAAGAAATATGCGAAGTCACTACAGATGTACTGATGTGATAGTAGCATTTTGCTCAATGTGCTTGAGAAACCGTGAATAAAGGGTAGTTTCAGAGAATATCTTTGTGC